CAGTAGAGCAAACAGTTGGTTCATGAGAGACTCCTGATATTCTGAGAGACACAGTTGAACTTCCTTTCAAAGCTCATATTAGTAACTTGGTAAGTTTTTGAGATTTGAGTGACATAATGCAGTTATTGTCCTATAATGGCCTTTACTTGGTCCAACGCAGGTAGCTCTAGTCTTTAGTTTACCAGTTGCTGTTGAGTCTGTTCTAGCTCATGGTGACCCCATATGTGTCAGAGTAGAACTATGCTTCATAGGTTTCAGCGGCTGATTTTTCAAAAGTGGAGCACCAGAACTTTCTTTTGAGGCTCCTCTGGGTGAACTCAAACTGCCAACCTTTGTGTTAGCAGCTGAGTGCATTAACCGTTTGCACCCCCAGGGACTCCCTAGCCCTTGGTAGTTGTCAGTAAACCAAGGGTGTTAGCTGGGGGCTTGTGAGAATTACACAGAGAAAAATTAGTGTTGACTAATGAAGACAGAGGTGGGGGCATCTTAGATTTATTCTTAAATTATGTTGAGAAAACTAGGTCTTGGGGCCGGTGGCCAGAAGGCTTGCCTCATTTGGCAAGGGCTGGATTGACCACAAGCCCAGAACTACAAATTTATTCTCTGTGCAGCCTGGTATTTGGCCAACCTATTACATGCTGGGTGGTAGGCTTGCTCATCAACCAACTTACATGTGCACCTACTGTGGTTTTTTGAGATAGTTCTCTCAAGTGAGCAGTTCCTCTACCTCAGAGTCTTGCTGGGAATAAAAAGCCATTCGGTGAAGAGTTCCTGAATCTTTTTTTAATCAAGTTCCTGGTTCATTGAAGTGCTTTGAGAAAGCCTTCGTAAATTATAAGGACAACAATGATTGCTAATTGAGTGATGCTTAAAGCTTGCCTGTTTTAGATCAAATTAATGCTTCACTTGTGTTTTTTAATGTACTGGAAGTTTGCTTTGGGTCCATGTGTACCATCAGTGGATACAATAAGATAATGCTCAACAAGTTTTAGTGCTTGTAGTTTTAAAATTTTACAGATCTATAGTTGTATCTTTGCTCATGACTTTCAGTTATATTAATATATTTTCAATGCTGAAACTTAGGGAACAAACCTTTATTTATATAGCCCTAATTCTCTTGAAAAATATAACCTGCTGCTAGATCATCTGTTAGAATCCTCTGTGATTCCAGTTTCATAAGGATTTTTTTGTTAGTGTTAACAAAATGTTGCACAAACAAGCGTTATAATACTATTCCATAATCTTTGTGATTGACATTATAAAAAGTATATGTATCAAAATTCTGGTTAAAAAATTTTTTGTAATCTTCCTAAACATTTTGCTTTAGATATATCTAAGGCGAACATGAGTTTTATTTCAAACACACTTCTTGGCAGAAGCACAGCCAGAATGCTCCTTAGAAGCAAGGATGGCAAGACTTTGTCTCCCATACTTTGGACATGTTATCAGGAGTGACTAGTATCTGGAGAAGGACATCATGCTTGGTAAGGAAGAGGGTCAGCAAAAAAGAGGAAGACCTTCAATGAGATGGATTGACACAGCAGCTGCAATAGCAGGCTCAAGCATAACAACCATTGTGAGAAATGGCACAGGACTGGGCAGTGTTTCGATCTGTTGTACACGGGGTCGCTATGAGTCAGAACTGACTCCACGGCACCTAACAAGAATAATAGAATTTGCTTGACAGTTTATTTCCTCGTTTGAATTATTTTTATACTAGTTCAGAACTGCTGACCTTATTGGAAGATTTGAAATTGCTTAATTAGTGTTATTTTAAGACTTGCAATTAGAAATTTAAAATCATGCCTTGAATTTTATGCCCATTTTGAAGATACTACTCAGAGACGAAACTGGAGTTTATTTTTGATAGGTAGCCCTGGGTCAGCTTGCCCTAAGCTTTGAAGTTTTTATGTTTGTGGTATCTGTTTAAAAGCAGAATCAAGCCCAGGAGTTCTGAATTTTTCTCAGGCAAACTGTTAGTCCCAGTGACAGTACGGTTATTAGTTCCTGAAGATTCCTACCCCTGCTTCTACCTCACGCTCCTCCTTCTCTTCCCTGCCCTCTCTGCTTTCTCCCCCGTAAGATCTTAACCTTCAACTTAGGTTTTTTTTGTTTTGTTTTGGTGGTTTCAGCATTTCTGTCTGTGCTTCCCTTTTTGTTGGCAGTTTTCTTTGTTCCAAGGAAGAAGCGTATTTTCTGTTTCTGTTCCTTGTGTTCTGTTCAGAAACGCCATGCTCTGCTTCCTAATTGCCGTGTCACCTGAGAGATGACAGAGCAAAGGAGGCAGCAAAGCCATTTGTTTCAGCTCTCTCTTTTGGGGGTGACGAAAACTCTGAATCTTTGGCAAATAGAGTTAGGTCTTGGGAAAGGCTTAATGTTCTCCAAATGGGTTAGTGTAACCCGGGGACCTTACTTGACTTATGATAGTGACAGCTTTACCACCAAATTCTCCTTAGGGTATAGCTCTTCAGAGGAAAAAGCCTCTTAAAATTGAGAGCCCTTACGGACTTTATTACTAGTTAATGTCTGTTCTTAAAGGAAATACCTAATCAGATATTGATGATGCTAGACCATATGTCCAAATAGGAATATCTTTCTGCAAGCCAGCGTGAACCTTATCTTTTCTCAGGTTAACATTCCTGACAAACGCTGGTTGGTGGAGAGAGATTTTTCAAAGTTAGGTTGCATCCTTTATTGTTTTAACTTACCTCAGGACAGAAGCATAAAACTGTAAAAAAAAAAAAAAAAAAAAAAGTGAGGCTCCTTCCAGGGAAAGTGGCAGCAATTGAAAACATATTGGAGGAGGACACAGCTACCATTTTAATAGTTGTATAAATGGTTTGAAGGTTTTAAGACCCTAAAGTTCATCATTTCTCTAAAACCAGCTGCTGTCTAAGCTTAGTGTTCATAAACTATTGTAGGGCAAGGATAATGTTTTAACTATAAATTTCACCTACCACTAGCATAGTTCCTACAGATAGAAGATACACAACGAATGTTTATTGAATAAAAGTGTTAGCTAAAGATGCACTTTTTTTTTTTGCTGTTTTTTTTTTCCCTTGTAAGTGATGGTGTCCCATTGAAGTCTTTTATGTCTAAAATGCTTGGGATTTTTCTTGTTCTCTGCTTTCCTTAGTTCTTTTCTTTACTGCTTGGTTTTTGCAAAACCTGAGTTTTAAGGGGATAGTTAAAAATAGACTTGTCTCTGTAAGCACCTCCTCACATCTGTTTTTTTTGCTGGGTACCTACAAGGTTGACCGGCTCTTTTTGGAGCTGTACATCAAAAACAGTTGGAGGGAAAACATCTGTTTAGTCAACATTTTCAGTGTTGGAAGACTGTATCAAATTTAAAACTTTTTAAACCGAGTATGTGTTTTCAGAAGAGTGGAAGTTGTGTCAGATGTGGAGGGGGTTCGGTGTGGCCATTTTGAGGTTGATGAGGCCCAGCTGTGCTTTCTCAGTTGCCTTTGCACCCCACGGAGGGTTTACCAAGTGACACAGTGTCCCCTGGGTGAGCACACATAGCTTATTTATTTATTTGACTTATTTTTTTCTGTTTAATCGTTTGATTTTCCAAATACAGAAGGTGCACAAGGCACTAACGGGTAGAGGAGTCTGAAGTTGACCTCTGTCCAGTTTGGTTAGTGATACAGTGAAGATATCACTGATTTGGGGTTCAGACCAGAGTGTGGGCCCCAAGCTCTTCCGCTTTCTGGCTGGATTAGTTTGGTCCAATAACCTATTGTGTCACGTGTGAAATGGGAGTGGGAGTCCTGGGTGGCACAAACAGTTTGACTAATGATAGGTTGGTGGTTCGAACCCACCCAGAGGCACCTTGGAAGAAAGGCCTGATGATCTGCTTTTGAAAGGTCCCAGCCTTGACAGCCCCGTAAGGGCGGTTCTACTCTGAAAGACCTGGAGTCACCGTGAGTCGGAACTGACTTGGTGGCAGCTGGTTTGGTTTTTTGGTGTTTAAAATGGGAGCGATCACACCTGCCTTAGTGAATGTGAAGAACCTGGTTATAGCCTGAAGAAACGGCCCTGTTTTGAAGGTAGAATTAGGGAGCATTGTCATCTGAAACCAAAAAACTGAAGCTCTGTGTGCGTCATTGTTTTTAATAGCTTTTACCTAGTCTTTCCTTGGTTCTGAAACCATTGAGCCTGTGACTGTCATTCCCCAGCCACTGCTGTGGATCGACAGAACCCCTAATTTATAGCACTAGAAAGAACACATGGCTATTAATGAGCACCCCAGGTTCTCCTGTGTCCAGCTGAGTTTCCTTTGACTTTCTTTTGGTTTTGAAGGTGAAAGTGATTTTTAAAAAACCTCCTCTTGAAACTGCATGCATCCAAATAACCTTATCTTTTAATTGCATAAATAAGAGGTTTTCCCCCTTGATTTTCAGGGAAGGTGTAGTTGGTGTGATATACGATCTCATTATGGAAAGGTAATTAGTTGTACTGATTTTTGCCAAGGCATGCTTGCTAGTACATTGTGAAATAGCATCCTAAATAATTTACTAAGTGTATTTTGTGATTGTGACATCTCCTGCCTCTCTACATACATTATGTAAATCTAAGTAAACTGCAATTCATCTAATAAAACTGACAGTGTGACATTTGTTTTTTAATTTATTAATTTTTATGCCCATGATATAAAAGGTGCAAAAGGGTATATGTTGAAAAGTAAGTTTCCTTCTTTACTTCATTCCCCAGCTTCCCAATTCCTCCCTATGGAGCAACCACTTTTGTGTCTCTTTAAATTGAAATCTCTGTTTGTGACTTAGTACCTACATGTATTTGTCCTAAGATCTTTGGTTATATGTTCGAGAAGCCAGTTGGGAGCAGGTTACTAGGTATATGATTGAATATACGAGCAGCAATGAGTGATGTCACTTTAGTGATGGTGCCTGTTAATCGGTGTAACCACCTTTGGAGCGAGTGTTACCGTGGCTTTTGAGCATCCTGATCTCCGTATCTGTGTTTCTTTCATTTTCCAGTTGCAGCATGAGAAAGCCGAGCTAGAACAGCATCTTGAACAGGAGCAGGAATTTCAGGTTAACAAACTGATGAAGAAAATTAAAAAACTGGAGAATGATACCATCTCTAAGCAGCTTACCTTAGAGCAGGTAAGCATCGATAGCGCTCCTTATACGTTTTTCCCCTCATATTATTGACTTGTTCTTCCAAGCTTTAAGATGTCCTGAGGAAAATAAGTGAAACATTTTTTAGCGTTTTCTCCCTGCAGTGGTGGCTTCATTTCTGAAGTAAGCATTAGTGGGTTTACATAGCACTTGCTCACTCTCTTGCACATTTTCTCTCTCTCTCTTTTTTTAACCGCAATGAACAAAGTTCCAGGAGATATGTTGTTAGGTACTGATTTATAGCAGGAAATGTTAGGTTCCTTTTACAGAACAAAGGGGAAAGGATACGTTTTTAACCACAGGATAGTTTCTATGAAATTTCCTGAGACAGTGTTCCTGTGGAACTAAAACTTTCAAGAGTTCTTCAGAACAGTTAGCTTTTATATTCTTTGAATTATTAGCAACCTCAGTGGTTAAGCACTTGGCTACTAACTGAAAGGTCGCTGATTCGAACCCACCAGCTGCTCCACGGGAGAAAGATGTGGCAGTCTGCTTTCATAAAGATTTACAGCCTTGGAAACTCAGTGGGGCAGTTCTACTCTGTCCTATAGGGTCGCTATGAGTTGGAATCGACTAGATTGCAACAGGTCCTTGGTATATGAACCCTATGTTTTCCAGCTAGACTTGTTTTATAGGTATGGAGTTGGAGACTTGGTTCCACCTTCTAGGTCAGCCACTAACTAGTTGTATGACCTTGGATTAACTTCACTGACTCCTCTGGGCCCAAGTGCTCCATTTGTAAGTAGATCAGGACAGATCACAATCAGGCATGGCAAACTTAAAACGTAATAGATGCACAATCCTTTTGTCCATTGCCCTTGACAGATGTTGGTATTTGATTATAATACTTGCCTTTGGAGTCCAGACTGGGTCTTACACTTATTACTCACACATAACTTTGGGCAGCCATTATCAGTCCATTCAAGTTGGTGTGTCAGACAGAAGTACCTGTTTTTCCTGGTCTGTGTGTTCCTAAGGCTTTTTCCATCTCTAAGGCCTTAAAATTTTATTTTCCCTAAGATAAATTATAAGAGGCTGCCCATAGTGTACTGCTACCTGGGTTTCCGTGTAAAATTCAGTGTATTGATTAAGATTTTCCAGCTTTTGGGGAAGCCAGCACAGCTTGTACAAGGAAAGGTCATGGAAGCTCCACAGACACATCCAAACTCCCTGAGGGACTGAATTGCTGGGCTGAGGGCTGTGGGGACCATGGTCTCGGGGAACATCTAGCTCAATTGGCATAACACAGTTTATAAAGACAGTGTTCTACATTCTACCTTGGTGAGTAGTGTCTGGGGTCTTAAAAGCCTATGAGCTGCCATCTAAGATACTCCACTGGTCTCACCCCTTCGGGAGCAAGGGAGAATGAAGAAAACAAGATACAAGGAAAAGATTAGTCCAAAGGACTAATGGACCACAACTACCACGGCCTCCACCAGACTGAGTCCAGTACAATTAGATGGTGCCTGGCTACCACCACTTACCCTCTGACCGAGATCACAACAGAGCTGGAGAAAAATGTAGAACAAAATTCTAACTCACAAAAAAAGACCAGACTTACTGGCCTTACCGAGACTGGAGAAACCCAGAGAGTATGGCCCCCGGACACCCTTTTAGCTCAGTAATGAAGTCGCTCCCGAGGTTCACCGTTCAGCCAAAGATTAGACAGCCCCATAAAACAAAATGAGATTAATGGGGCACAAAAGTCCAGGGACAAGGACTAGAAGGCAAGAGGGTACAGGAAAGCTAGTAATAGGGAACCCAAGGTTGAGAAAGGACAGTGTTGACATGTCGTGGGGTTGTTAACCATTGTCATAAAGCAGTATGTGTACTAACTGTTTAATGAGAAACTATTTGTTCTGTAAACCTTCATCTAAAGTACAAGAAAAAAAAAAAAGATTTTCTAGCTTTTTGTAATTTAGACCCTAGTTGTCATTATGATAATTTGGCTAAGCCCTTCATGCTAAAGTAGTCTGGTTTAACATCTTGGCTGTGCATCTTATTAGTCCATGCTGACGGGGCCTTAAGTCACCCTGAGGTCCTCTCTGGTTTCAGCATTCTACCTGAAAATGAAATGTTGGGAATATGAGGTTTGAGGGGAAATCGGGGTTGGTTTTAACCTAATACTAATTGACTCTTGTTTTTTGTGTTGTTCTCATGTCTGCCTATGTCAAAGGAGAATGTCACTTAGTTTTCCAAGGCTATGAATGGTGGCCTTAAATAAATTTCTAGGGAAAAGAAAAGAAAAGAAAAAAAAAACTTCAGTTTTCAAAGGTTAGCTATTTTACACATATTCAGAGAAATCTGTTCTCACCATTTATCTCCAGAATTCGATGTGATATCTACTTTTAGGAGACTCCTCCCCCCACAGTTTAAAGACATTTTGTTCCGAGTTTTTGCTGTTTAATTCCCAGGACAGTCAACAGCTCCGTTTTTGTTCAAGTTAAAAGTTTGAACATTCTTTGGGATTGTTTAAATATCTGACATACCAAGTACTTGCTATTGGTGTACGTTAATCAAGAGTTAATCGAATGACCAAGTGAAGTTGTCACAGTTGGTATTGTGAGAACTTCACTTGTTCACCACTTCGTGGTGATGATTGTCAGTGTTTTTAAACAGCTTCACTCTCTCGTTTGCTCTCTGGCTCCTAAGGAGACTAGAGACAGACTGTGACCCCAGGGTTTAGCTATGGCCACAAGGTGGAGATAGTCGCTTAGTGTCAGAGAGAGAGAAGGGCCGACTGATCTGCTGCACCATCTTAACTAAAGGCCCTTTAGGGGCTTCACAAATTGAACTTCTTTAAAATGAGGTCCAAGACTTACTTTCCCTATACCAAGTGAATGACTTAACTTTTACATTCAGACCTCAAAATTAAAGAAGTGAATTTCCACAATGGAACATGTGCATTGTAAAGCCTTCTGCTAGAAATAAACTTCATATCCAGAATATCAAATCCATATTCTAATAAAAATGGAGAAATTTAACATTGTTATAAAGTTTTTGTTTTTTTTTTTCCTCCTTTTACTTTGGGTTATTGAGTTTTGGGCATTTTACTCTGTATTTTGTTGAGGTATAAATAATTTTTTTAAGTGTTTTAGAAGGGAATTTGTTTTTCATGTAATTGAAATAAGTATCTTCTGCACTTCTATGGATGTGATCTGTGTCTGCTGTGATCATCTCTTGGGATTATCACCTGTAGTATATTATAGTATGGAGTCCCTGGGTGGCACAGACGGTCAAGCACTGAACAACTAGCTGAAAGGTTGGCAGTTCAAATCAACTCAGAGGCGCCTTGGAAGACAGGCCTGGCGATCTGCTTCTGAAAGGTCACAGCCTTGAAAACCTTATGGAGCAGTTCTAGTGTCATACATCGAGTCACTATGAGTCAGAATCGACTCAATGGCAACTAACAAGAACATATTGTACTATGCATTATAATAATTTATGTATCTTTGTTCTTCTATCTTACAATAAACTTTTTAACCCTATAAGTTATTTGAGGGCTACATTGTGTATGTCTTGTGCCCTACGCATGTACTACTGTGTACACATGTACCATGGCTTTGTTGAAACAGTTAAGTGTGGGTTTGGACAGGTAACTGGAGAGCAGTCATTTGTATTTTAGAAGGCAGTGCAGTGTCATGCTTAGGGCTTGGGCACTAGAGTCTAAAGGAACCAGTTGTGAACCTGTTTTCTCTGCTTAACATCTTAGCCGCTCCTTTTCTGTTGGTTTTTTTTTTTTCGTATTTTTTGTTTTTCGTATTTTGTATTTTTTTTTTCGATTTTTATTGAGGTGCATAATTCACACACCATACAATTCACCCATTTAAGTGTACGATTCATTGGTTTTTAGTATATGCACAGAGTTGTGTAACCATCACCACAATCAATTTTAGAACATCACCTCAAAAAGAAACCCTTTGCCCTTCAGCTGTCATTCCTCAATCCTTCTGTTTCCCCTCAGCAACCACTAACATGCTTTCTGTCTCTATAAAGTTGCCCATTCTGGACATTTCATTTCAAAGGAATCATATAATATGTGGTCTTTTGTGACAAGTTTCTTTTCACTTATCGTATTTTCAAGGTTCATCCATGTTGTAGCATGTATCAATACTTCATTCCTTTTAATGGCTGAATAATATTCCATTGTATGGCTATACCACATTTTGTTTATCCATTTGTCAGTTGATGGACATTTGGGTTGTTTCCACCTTTTGATTCTTATGAATAATAATATGAACATTCATATATAACTTTTTGTGTGGACATGTGTTTTCATTTCTCTTGGATATATCCTAGGAGTAGGATTGCTGGGTCACATGGTAACTCTGTTTAACTTTTTGAGGCTGTTTTCCAAAGCTACTGCACCATTTTACATTCCCGCCAGCAGTGTATGAGGTTTCTGATTCTCCACATTCTCACCAAGACTTGTTATTATCTGACTTTTTGATATAGCCAGCCTAGTGTGTGTGGGAGCAGTGGTGGTTCAGGGGTAGAATTCTTGCCTTCTATGCAGGTGACCTGGGTTCAGTTCCTGGCCAGTGCACCTCACATGTGGCCACCACCTGTCTGTTGGCAGAGGCTTGTGTGCTGCTGTGATGCTGAATAGGTTTCAGCAGAGCTTCCAGACTAAGATGGACTAGGAAGAAAGGCCTGTGATCTGCTTCCAAAAATCAGCCAGTGAAAACCCTAAGGAGCACAACGGTCCAGTCTGTGGGGATGGCACTGGCTCAGGCAGCATTTAGTTCCATTTTGCATGGGGTTGCCATGAGTTGGAAGCTAGCTCGATGGCGGCTAACACCACCACCACCAGCAGTGTGTGTGGAGTGATGTCTCATTGTGGTTTTGACTTTGATTTGTTTGATGACTAATGATGTTGAACATTTTTTCATTTGCTTGTTGTCCATTTACATAGCTTCTTTGGAGAAATGTCTGTCCAGATCCTTTGCCCATTTTTAAATTGGGTTATTTGTCTTTTTATTGTT